TTCTTGCTAGATGGCTAACTGTAACAGAGTAAGCATAGAAATCGTATTATTTGTTAATTTAAGCGATTATTCGATTAACTTTCTGAATAATTCTTGGAAGTTTGGAATGAATCCCATATTATATTTGCTCAGTGGGTACTTAAATCCTTCTGAGCAAGTTACAATTGGTCTCATATGTTTTGTATAAACGAAACAATGAAAAGGTATTTTCGAATGTTGATAACGCATTTTTCTATCAAAAAAATCTCGAACAAAATCCAACGATCAAAGCCATCATTGACACTCCGCCCCTTCCTCCCAAAAACCTAGAGTTTGTACGATATAGGGCGGGGTGTCGCAAAAAAACTGTCGATATGATGTTTTCACCTTTAGCACAATGTTACTTTACGACGAATTATTGAAAATTGACACCTTTGATGTCTTGCTGATTTGCCAATGGTAAGGAAATAAACGAGGAAGTGGACGCCCGGGCAAACATCTGTTGACCTTTCGCTCTTTTGATTCGTAGTTTCACAACCGTCATTTCCTTCTTTTATAGTCGGGCATTATCGCTTACAATTCAATTGCATCTATAAGTTGCAGCAAAAATTTCCTCCTCTATCCAATGGTACTAGCCATGTTTAACACACCCTCGCTACGCCAGGTATGTGACGTCATTTTGGACTCGATCTTATCCGCAAGAAATGAATTAAATCCGGGAGAATTCCAGTCAGCGCGACTTCTTTGAACACAATGTGTGTATATATATATATGGATTGTTTTGTTATTACGTTTTCGGCTTCATGGCCATATATTTGAGCATCGCTCTCTTATTCAAAAAACTGCTTATAATTGGGAACGAGGGCAATGTAATGACGAGGGGTAATCGCTCCGAATAAGGAACTAATACGCAGTGGTGGACGTTCTAGTTAAAGATCCACAATTTTATCTCCAGCGTATTCGATTATAAAGATGAATAGAGATCAGCTTGACCCATTAGCGCAGCGTTTTTCAAACTTTTTTTCCCGGGAAAATTATGGTTTTTATCTCGCCTCGCGGAAAACCAAGGAATTAGGTGGTCAAATTGATAAATGTGAAATGGATTTACTTTTTTTGCGTCAACTTGCGCAACAGGCTTATCACTACATATTTTGTAACTTCCAGTTTAAGTCAACAATCCTTTGAGCATCCAAATTTAGCCTATGGTAAAATTGAAAATTTTGCTGTAAACTTGACAATTAAAAAATTAGGCCGACGGTTAACGACATTGAACGGTTGACGAAAACACCAAGGTCCGCTTGTTTAGATGACAAGGCCTGTCCGCCTCTTTGTCGTCAGTAGGGAGACAAAATTACGACCCAGAGGCGCCGAACTTGGACCGAGATCGTCATGGCGACCAATTTAGTCACAATTTCGATTCCAGTTCCACGGAACACAGTTTGAGAAACAAGAGCAACCTCGGGTGCACAACCTTGGGTAAATTCAAATCGGGCTGAATTTAGCAAGTGAGAAGTTCACGCTATTTCATAACACATGGAGGTCGGCTAAGAAAGACTTTTCACTATGAGTTTAGCGCAGGGGTTCTCAACCTTTTTTCCGTCAAGTACCCCCCGAGTCACGAAACAATCAACGCGAACCCCCGGTAATCAGACACTGAACAAAGTTGTGATATACTGATATATTGACTAACAACTTGTTGCAACACCAATTTATTGACCATATGTAGCTAAATAAATCGTCTTGTTGATATTATTGCCTTTGTCGTCTGCGTAACTAATGAATTCCTAAAATCCCTCCCAAATTTCAATAAGCATAATCACTTCTCCAATGCTCGCAGCACGCTGTCTTTAGAGATTTCACAGTTTGTACGCAATGCCTTGAATTTCACATTGTTGCATCACAATCACAAGCACACAAGATCAGGTAAAATCTTCGTTTTAATTGGCGTCTAGTTTCAATGTGTACGCATTTTCCCATGGTATTAATAAAAGATATTAAAAAACAGCAACATACAAAAACTCGACTGTAATCAAATTACCCTGGAAATCTTCTCGTGAACCCCAGGTTGAGAACCCCTAGTTTAGAGGATCAAGGAAGTTCGATTTAACCAGCAAGGATTGATTTGCGGTTACGCAACCAGTCATTCGCTTTTCTATTGCGCGGTGCTATACAATTTAATTGCTTCCTGTATAGCTAACAAGGTTGGCCAACACGTCGATCGCGATGTCTCGAGCAGTCGATCGCGTCTGATGTTCAGTAAATTTAATAAAATATTCCCAAAAAATTGCCTTGAATCATTTGTGTGTTTTAAAAGAGCAAGAATACAGTATATACTGAAAATGCGCAACATACAATACACCCTTACAGTATTTGAGTCTGGGCAAGCCCGATAGAGCATATTATTACGTAACAAATGCAAGTTTTGCCGCTGTGAGGATTTCAAAATAAAGTGTCGAATATCGCGTGTCTTGACTGAAAACGATCATATTGTATACAATAACTTCAGCATTTTGAGAAAGGTATTGCTTTACTCCAAAAGAAATGTGATAAAAATTTTAATCGCAATTTGAACAGTGGCATCAAAATGGTCTATTTTTTCCCAATTCCAAGTGAGCGAAGAATCGCACTCAGAGGAAACTGTAAATTAGATACTGAAGCTTGAGCAGTCATGTAACATTCATGGTTTGAGAATATTTATTTTTTGCTGTTCGGATGAAACATGAATACTTGGCAAGGTTTCTCGAAGAATTTCCAACACTTACGACTAGAATTTAGGAACGGTTTTTATCTGATATGTATGATTTGCCTAAAATAAATAAATGATGAAACATTGAAAACAATTAAATGATCAAATCAACAACTTTAATGGAAAGTAAAAAATACAAATATCGTGTCGATTTCATTAGGAATGCAGCCACAAAGCCTTCTTTTGACAGCGGGGGATTTTTTTTGTATGTGTGTGTGTGTGTGTGCAGTTATCTGCATATTCAGTACCCATTCGAATTTGTGTGGGACTATGCTACCGATCGATCGATCGCGAGCTATTTTGACGATTTTAGTCGATCGCGATCGAAAGCAGGATGGCCACCCCTGCAATGTAGTGTAATCCTAAATTCAAAGTTGCAGGCAGCATTAGGTTTGCCACACCAGGTTAGCTACGCTACTTATGTGACGTCATTTCAGACTTATTGTACGAACAATACGCTCGTATTTCATCGTGTGCGCAGATACTATCACTTATTTGTTTATTACGCAATAATGACCTCGATGAAGATCGTATTAACGATAAATTTAAGCACTTTTGATTCTCGTTTCAAATTTGAATCTCATTGTACCCTCTCAAGAGGTACAGGCACTAGACTGGCGCACTGGGCTATATCATTCATTCCTAGCTCAGAACTTACAACAGCTTCCTTTGCAGGTCAAATTCGTCTGCAATAACAGTGAAATCTACTGTCAGGATCAATTATGCGATCCAACCACTAACTTTTACATCACGGACCATTTCTTTGGAACAATTTCATTCTGAGAATTACGCTAAAAGGCCTTTACCCAAACACGAGTTAAATGGGTACTCCCGTAGTTTGTGTACCAGGTTAGAGTTAGGCCATAATTGTATTCCTATTTTCTTTATTTTAGTTCTATTACGAGTCGGCACTGTCTGTGTTAGACAAGTGTGTATATCCACAGCCAATGGATCTTCAATTTTACAACAACTAGGTTCTTCTAGGTTGGTTTAAAAGCGTTAACTAAACTACTGCTCCCTTTGTTCTATTCTTTTATGTCAGTGGGTACCGAGGACTGGCTGTAGCAATAATTAAATAGGTTATGTCACATATTATCACACATATGTCAAGGTATCATATCATATTGATCTATAACTAGTTATATGATTCAAAATCACAAGAGCGGTTTCTCTTTTGTATGTTAATCAGTAACAACAGGTTCCAATATTTCCGAAAACGTATATGTAAGCCACATTAACATAACACACTTTACATAAATCTTATGAAAAACTTTTGAAACGCTTAACATAACGCTAGTTGTCAGCTGCGGTGCACGTCATCCATTTTCTGCAGTTGCTTAAGGTCTAAAACAGTGGTTCTCAACCTTTTATGGCTCGTGGCCCCTTTCCGGTGCCTTTTTGCACTCATGGCCCCCCTGTTCGCCATTTCAAATAACTGAACGTGTTGGAAGGTATTGTGTTTTCATTACCTTTTATGGAATGGAAAAGCAAATCACGGACAATAATATAAGAGCTTTCTAGTATACAATCAATGAGAATCGCTCGGGACTGTCTGACGAATTACAGATAAGTTGCAAGTCGCAATTTGCGACAAATGAACTAACAGTGAAAAGCTTTCTTTCTTAGTAGTGGGTAAGAATCTGATACGCCACTTCAAAGCTGCATTCAAAAGCGGGCTTTTCCTCCGGCAGAAACCCGAACTTGGCCAATGTTGCTTTATTGTCAATCTAACTCGCTCGACAGCTAAGAATCCCATATCAACGCTTTTACCCGGTGATGATTTTTGTCACGGTGGTTTTGGAGTTTAGATGGACTTTATGATTCATTGCTCATTACATACGAACAATGCAAGTATTGAGGACATTCTCTGTCATCTCGATTTACTTTTGTAAAGCCAAAGTAACTGTCGTTCCATTTTCGTATTTTGGGCATTAGGAATTTACAAATGGTTTTTTTCGTCTATAATACGATAGCGAAGGTTACCTCGCAGTCTAGTGAAACTACAGGTTAGACGGCCTACCAGCAAATTATTTTGATTGGTAGATTCCAAATTCCATTATGATCAAACAATTTACGCACAAAAAAAGTGAATACATATTAAACTGAGAATCACTGGTCTAAAACAACACGCTTATACACACATTGTCAAGAACGGGTTCGCGTGAAGCACCCTGAGTCTCATCACTGGTTATATATCACTGTTTCTCTTACAGACAGAATTCTCGAGTCTGTCGGCAACTTATTTTCCGATATTCCCGCAACACAAACTCACATATGAGATTCAAACTGTATTGTGAAAACAATAATCATCTACTTTAATAAGAAAAACGAGTTAAAAAAATTACGTTGCTATGGAACCACTTGGGAATGACGTAACTACAAACTACGTCATCGGGCATAACTCAATTATGATGCAAATGCAAACTTATGTTGCACAGACTAGATAAAACATGTCATGTTATCAAATATGTAATGACGTAACCAACTGTAACGTCATCAATACGTCAGAATGTGAAAAATATGAAATGACGTAACCAACTGTGCTGTCATCGATACGTCAGAGTTTGAAAAATATGAAATGACGTAACCGACTGTGATGTCATCAATACGCCAGACTTTGAAAAAAGCTATAAATTTTCGCAAAAGCCTCCTCGCACCGAATTCTGCCGTCTGAAAAGTTTCAACCATCTTCGTGACGTATTTATCAATGACGTCACATCTCACATTTGTATCCCACATGTTCCCGAATCCACTTTATATAACTTGATACTCGGGTATATCCCCCCGCTACACCTTCCAACCCGCATGCATCGCCGAAACTTGTTACGCCGTCTATAAACCACTCAGATCCTCTTTTGCATAGCAGAGGTCCACCGCTGTCTCCCTGTGAAAACAAAATGAGGAATTAGTCATAACCAAGTTTATTTTTTCCATGCAGTTGAAAATAACATACCACATTGAGCAAGGCTTATTTTCGGAAATATTTAGCCAAATAATGATTTAATTTTAAAAAATGCTCCAACTTATTTCTTTCCAGTTGTTATTAGTTACAGTTCTGCTTCAGCACCGTTGCCAATATGTGGTTTATCTTACCATATAGGATACTTTTAAATAACCCAGGTGTCCAGAGCTTTGACTTCATAACCATGGACCGTTTTCCGCATCAAACCGGATTTATTGAAAACCCGAGTGGCAGTTATTTTTGACTCCAACCACCAGATACTTACTCTACATGTATCTTGATCTTTATGTCCTCCAGCACAGATCATGAGTTTCCAATCGTAAGCCCCATAAACACATTTCGTTCCAGATTGAACTGCTATTGTAGCTTGCTTCAACTTTTCAGAACTCGGACCTTTGTCTGATAAAGAATACAAATGATTTATCTAGGTTGCCAATATATAAGTTGATTTTCATGAAACATATATATTGTGACTAGATTGAAAAGATGACGTTAATATATGTGAAACTGGCGTCATCTTGGGTGTGACTAGGATTAGGTGAGAATGTAAAAAAAAATATGTATAACGTGACGTCATATTTAAAAAACCACGTCATTTCTGAAAAAAACGCCATAGTTTGAAAGATGTAACGTACTTGTGATAAGAGGTGACGTCATAATAAAAATGAAACATAATACTGATGTTCAATGATAAGAGCGCTGAAATGATTATAATTCAGTGGTCGGCAACCACCGGGCTGCAGCCCATCGTCGGTCCGCGGAAAGGTTACTACCGGTCCACAGAAAGGTGACATAAAAACGAATAAAGGCCTAATAAAACCTCTACAATACAACCACAAACCCTACAACTAAAAAACAGCACCAGACAAAAACAACGCATTGGTTATTGCTAAACGAACATCGAGCAATACCCAGATATAGATACAGAAGCTGTACAGGCATTGTTAGCTTTCACAACATCGTATTTATTTTAATTGGAAAATTAAAAATTGGGAACTGTCCATTGTCAGCAAACAAATGTAGAACTCGCATTGTTTTTGAATATATTGTCAACGTAAATTTTCAAACGCGTGCACTTTTTTGCATAAGCTTATATAGTTCATATGTATAAAAGTGGTCCGCCAAAATTTTGATCAGGATTTATCGGTCCGTCACTTAGAAAAGGTTGCCGACCACTGGATTATATTATCAAATAAGAGAGCTCTGCTCAAATATGTAGACACAGAGCGCATAAATAAAAGTGATAGCCTTCTCGCAAAAAAACATAATCTTTAGTCACTGAAAATTTCAGAGCAATTGGTCAATTAATTAAACAGGGAGCGATTTTTTCATAACGATTGGAAGAATAATTCTAACAACAAGACAAACAAGAACAACAGCATAACAACAAAACGATCCATAGGTCCTCTCCGTGTCCCATAACATAAAGAAGCCGCTAAGAGAGTGAGTTTGACCTCAGCCAGTTGGAAGCCCTCAGACAAAGACAAATCAAGGGTGGAATATATAGCTATTTTGAACGTATTTTCCGTTTTATCAGTCGGTGCCTACCGACGTATCCGACTACAAGAACCAGTAGAAGTTATTTACTCTTTCCTATTTTAGTTTCGGGCTCGTGAATTTGCTTTGATCAAACTTGCAACTCTTCTATCGTTACTCATTACTTATCGATTTTAATCGGTAAGTATGTTTATAGGTATTTGTCTGTCTGTCTGTGTGTATGTCTGTCAGATGCACGCGATATCTCACGAAAACGAGATTGAATCTGTTCCAGATTTTGTATGTGCATTCATCATATCTCGGACCAGAAGCCTATTGATTTTGGGCGAATTATGCCGTAAATTAGCGAGTTATTAATTAATCAGTGACGGGACACAAGGTGTCACTGTGGAGTAAGAGCGCTGTTTTGGGGGGTCCCCTAACTTTCGATCGATAAGTCTCCGGTCTCTGACCGATATTCTCGTTTCAATTTTAGTTGATGGCTTGTATGAAGCCATAAAATGTTCGCAACTTTTCTTTACACTTTTAGTTGAAACCAACTTTGAATTTTTGGCATCACTTGTCTGAATAGCAATAAAATCCATCCACCAGACTATCCACTTACTTCTTGTGGTTCCCCATCCTAGCACAGTACATCTTGTGCCAGCTGTTGGTTGCTGATATTTTGCATATGGAGACTCCTCTGACGTCACTCCATATATTGTTGATTGAGGTAAACAAATAGGTCTGACGTAATCATTGACGTCAACAGCTTTACTTAGCTTTATCAAAGCAATGTCATTTGTATCAACTTTAGTCTCAGTGTTGACGACATACTTCGGGTGCACAATGATCCGATCTGGTTCAAATACCTGGAAAATAAGAGAGCAATGCTCAAACATATGACGACGAAGATAAAAGCGAAATATTATCATTTTTTTTTGCAGAATAGGTTCTTTAAGGTGCTCCGTACGGAGCCACAGGGATTCATGGGGAAACCTAGGCGTTCCGCGAGATATTGGTAAACTTATTAAAGTACTAATTTTGTGATTGCCCTGGCAATAACAAAGATCAAATTTTGACAACGGCAATCAGCATATTTTTAAATACATTCGAGTTATTTTGGGGGGGCTCCGTAGATAATAATCAACTTCTTCACAGGCTCCATGGGACCAAAAGTCTGAGAACACCTGTTTCAAAGTACCGTTGGTCTTTTGACTCCCGACTTCGCTGACCACCGAATCGCTACAATGCGATTGCGGAGCCACGGTGCGAAACAATGGGGCACAGAGCAGTTGGAGGTGCCCACATTTCTAGGAGCAAAACTGATTTTACCTTTGCCTTCACAAGTCAACTTCCCGTTCTTCCTAGTTGCATTGCTTGTAAGGTTATTTCTCAGGGTGATTCACCTTGTTAAGAATGAATTGTTTGAACATAACGGGATTTGGAATCTACCAATCAAAATAATACCACTGGAATGATAAACAGAGGGCCATGAGTGCTAAAGGTCTCCGGCCGCGAGCCATAAAAGATTGGGAACCCCGTCTTAATCATTCTACAGCTTGGAGGAGGATATCAATTTAATGTCGCCCAACCTGTACTTTTCTTCCATCTCCCTGATCGTTCTTCCAGTATTTACCGACGTTCACGATGTATCGACGAGGATTTAGGCTGAAAAAATCAAAGTATATTTAAATGAAAGAAATCAATAAGTCAAAATATCCGGCAAGCTGTGGAACTAGAGCAGAGTCCTCAGCCGCATCTTTAGGGTGAATTTAACTTTCCTTGGCGATCAAAATGATAGGATAATTTGAATATTTATCCCTGGGAGAAGAAAGCTGATGAGACGGCTTAATCCTATAGCAAACCAGTCGAATCACCATTCCATGTCGGGTATGGGATGAGTTAGCTAGTTATTTGTTCGATGCATGGGCATTTTGTCTAAAGTCTTATTTGAAGGATCGAAACATAGCAAACACGATCAACATAAATACGAGAATATCGGTCGGAGACCGAAGACTTATTGATCGAAAGTTAGGGAATCCCCCAATACAGAAACTGCGGTTTTGATTTTTTCGTTCTTACTCCACAGAGACACCATGTATCCCATCACTAATTAATTAATACCTCTCTAATTATACGACATAATTCATCCAAAATCAATAGACTTCTGATCCGAGCTATGATGAATGCACATGCAAAATTTGGAGCAGATTCAACCTCGCTTTCGTGTGATATCGCGTGTATCTAACAGACAGACATACAGACAAATACCTATCAACATAGTTACCGATGAAAATTGATAAGCAACAAGTTTTAATAAGATTCATGTTCTTTTGTTGCCATAAACTCTTGATTTTATCTTATTCAAGCATCGGTGTGACACAGATCACATGAATGTCCATCAATACAAGGAATGTGGAACAAGCGAGAAGCAATTGTTAAGATGATAAAGATATACCGTGTTTCCCCGAGAATAAGACAGGGTCTTATTTCATTTTTTTTTCGAAAAATACCACTAGGGCTTATTTTGGGGGAATGTCTCTTATTTTCTGTTGTCGAAAGCAAAATTACAAAGTAGAGAATTATGAGATTTTCAAATATACAAAATATGAAAACCGATATCCATTTGCTTGCAAATAACACATTTTCCTCTCTCACACGTTTCAGATTAATCATTTAAATTTTTAAAACGTGTAGGATAAATTTCTTGCTATCGACTAAGTCAAAAAAAATTGCGACTGGGTCTTATTTTATGGGGAGGGCTTATATTGAAATTATTTTTAAAATTCAGACTAGGTCTTATTTTCGTGGAAACACGGTGCTACGAATCAAGTATAAACTCACTCTAGTGCAGTAGAGTCGATGTTCAGGAAGCAGTGGGCAGCTGTTATCACCCAGTTTGAGCAAACCAAGGTTGCGCCACAGATGTGGAATATTGATTCGGATTCAATTTGTACCATCCATGGCCATGCGTATTTCGATGCTGTCCGCCCACCTTTAGATGAAGGATATTGTTTTAGTTGCAACCTATACCAGGCAATGACGTAGTCAATAATTTTCAAAAGGTGGTAGGGGTTCAAAAAATTTTGAGACCGTAACAGTCCGGGTGGGGTTTCAAGAATCTTGAGGGTCTAAATAGCTATTTAGGCTACAAAAAACTGCTATGTATGATGGAGAAAATTGTTTTGCTTTTCAAATTAGAAAATAAAAATGCCGAGGAATTTGACACGCACCCCCCCCCCCCCCCCCCCCCATCCCCGATCCTTCTGCCATGAGCGACATGCACCATCCTGTTACGGCGCGCATTCCACCAATCCTCCCAAAATACTTTATTTCCACGGGATTCGAATCAGAGATGTGCGGTAAGAGCATTTTGTCTCTGGGCTCGGGACCGAGTCGTATTTTTTAATTCCTCAGGGTACGAATGCGTTGAAACTTCCTAATAAAACCCGAAGAGCGTTAATTTCACCTAATGTTCTTAAGTACCCTCTGAAAATGTGATTCTCTTCGAGCTATAGTCGAAAATTTCGGGATTCAGAGACAAAATATTTTTTAAGTTGGGAGTCGATTGTGAATTACTCCGACGACACAGCTGTGACTCAAACTTTTCAGATTGTGTCCCATAAATCCTTTTCGTATTCAGGTTGAATAGAAAACTTTACGTTCAGGTAAAGCACTATTTATTTTAAACAAGAGAGCGATGCTCAAATATAAGGTTTCGCTGTAGTACGGAAATAAACAAAAATAACATCTTCCTAACGCAAAATACAATCTTTGAACCACTGAAAATTTCAAAGCAGTTGATCTAGTTGTTGTAGAAAAACGCGATTTTTTCAAAACGATACGAAGAAGAAAAATACCAATACCAACAACAACATAATAACAAAACGATCCATGTGTCCATTTCGTGTCCAAAAAGGCAAACTAATTAGAAGATTGGTGAAATGCAGACAAGCGAACTCACCAACAATTTTCAATTTCGACTCAACCGCTGGTTTCCCGCACTTGAAGAAATCTCCTGAAAATGACAAACAGAATGTGAGCTCACTGGGGAAGAGAAGCCGCGAGGAACCAAAGCTGGTTATCGAGCAGTGACACCCGGGGTTCTAATATCTAATTATAAGATTGGGAATTCGAGTTTGGTATTATTGATAGTGATTGTGGCTTAGATAAATGGGCGATCCAGAAGTATGTGCACCAAGATGGTGGCCATCGTAACGTACAGTATGTGTACCGGGTTGAGGTTAGGCAATAATTTTATTACAATTTCCCTTATTTCAGTTCTATCACGAGTTCGGGGGCTAGCCAAGTGACTTCCGTAGTATTTGTACCTGAAATTATGACCTAACCCTAACCTGGTACACATACTACGTTTCGGTGTCCGCCATCTCGGTTCACATACTTCAGGAGTACCAACCCACTAACATTCATTACTAGAGATAAGTGGGATCAACAAAAATTTTCATCTTCTGACAATAAAGGCCGCCGGACCACCACCATGCTTGGGGTATTCTTTATTTAACTGAATCACTTGACGCAAAGACGCTTCTGTTGCTCCAAATAGCCTGAGCAATTTAGAAGGTGACCGTGGGGTCAAGATGGCGGACACCGGAACGTAGTATGTGTACCAGGTTAGGGTTAGGCCATAATTTCAGATACTACTACGGGAGTCACTTGGCTAGTCCCCGAACTCGTAATAGAACTAAAATAAAGAAAATTGGAATAAAATTATGGCCTAACCCTAACCTGGTACTACGTTTCGGTGTCCGCCATCTTGGTTCACACACTTCGGGAGTACCCTCACACGGACATATTTTTTGTATCACACACGATCGTAATGTCATATAGGAAGGACACACATAGTGGTACACATATGATTTTTATGTGAAAATACTATCTCACCTGGGCAGTCTTCTGGTTTCACACATTTATTGTTATGCCATATAGGAGCGGAAGGCGGGCACGCACATCCCGGCACACATGTGATTTCATTACGTCTTGAAATATCCATCGTTGATCGTTGGTTATTGCCTGTAAATACACAGAATGATATGATTTGATTGTAAATCTAGTCTTGTACTTGAAAAAGAAAGTTTGATATAAATTTCTGTGATGGCGGTTCATTGTTAAAAACAAAGTTTGCATTTGGATTGTTTTGATAAATCGCGCTGCTTTGAAATCACCACTCTGAAAATCGCTTCTGCAAACCACAACTATTGAAAACCATGTCAGTTTATACAAGCGGTTCTCAACCGGAAGACCGTCGCCAACCAAGGGGGGCACAGATCAGTTTAAACGGGATCAGTATGCTAGGGGCAAAAGTGTTTTACGTTTTCCTTTACAAAAACCCCTCATTTTTCATAGTTCCATTGCTTGACAAGGTTATTTTAAAGGGTGTTTTCACTTCAATTGAGCATGAATTGTTTGATCATAATCGGATTTGAAATCTACCAATCAAATTAACACACTATAAATACTACTGGAATGATAAACATGTGTGTCATGTGTGCTAAAAGTCCCCGAAAAGGGGCCGCGACCCGCCATAAAAGATTTGGAACCACTGGTTAATAGATTGAAAGTGTCTACAATAATTTTATATATGTGTTTATCCATCTATTCTATTATAAATGTATAGAATTGTATAATGTTTTTACGCCCTAATATGGAATGCAAAAGCAAACCACAGACAAGGCAGTATAAGCTTTTCAGTACACAATTTAAGGGAATCTTGTGATCGTGACTGCTAGGATTTTCTTTTGACAGAATCCCGAACTTGGCCAATTTTGCTTTTTTGTCAAATCTTATCCGCTTGGCAGCAAAGAAACCGATGTCAACGCCGTTCACCTGAGGATGATTATAGTCATGGAGGTTTTGGAGTTGAGATGAACGCTTAAAGGCATTGATAACATTCTCTGTCATCTCTATTTACCCCGGTAAAGTCAAAGTAACTGTCGTTCCCATTATCGTATTTTGGGCTTTAGAAATTTACAAATGGGTTTTTGCGTCTATAACACGGTAGCAAAGGTTATCTCCCAATCGAGTGAAACTGCTCGTTTGCTGGCATAAGGTCTACTGCATGACAAACTATTTTGATTTGTAGATTCCGAATCCCATTATGATCAAACAATTCAAGCACAAGAAAGTGAATACACCCTGGGATCGCAAATATTCTATTCTGGTAATGAAACTTGGGTGAAGGCCTGAGCGGGGAATTATTTAAAAAAGGAAAGTATGCAAACGAAATCGTTTTATGATCCATTAGCGGGATACCTGCCACTGCACTAGAAGAATATTACTTATTTTTCATTTTCTTGTGCTCTTATAAAGCTCGAAATCCAATATTCATCTAAAATTTTTCTTTTTCCACGAGTTTTTTTCTCACAGAGCTGATGCTCAATGCTTAGCTAGAGCCTTACCGAATTTATTCGACTGGGAGATTCGAATCCGATAACAGATTTCATTCTCACATGCTATCGGCACCACGGTTAGTCAAAGGACTTTGTCCCCAGTGATTGCTATTTCGCCTGAACATGAGATCGCGAACGAGGAAAATTTTTGATTTGCCCACACAAAAATAAAACAAATCTCTCGGAGCCCACAGAAATTTGTGAAAAAGGTAAAAATAAGCCAGATCACAATGATTTAAATTTTGATGACGTCATCACACGAACATTCGTAGCGAAAAACGAGTCCCTCAAAGCCCACAAAATTTTTTGACGTAAATAAAAGTAATAGCCTTCTACCGACAATAAGAAACGTTAATCACTAAAAAATTCAAAGCAATTGGTCCAGTAGTTAATGAGGAAAGCGATTTTTATTATAACAACAAGAACGGGAAGACTGATAATAACATAATCGTCATCCATCCATTTTGTGTCCAAAAATTATACAAGAAATTTGCCTGCGCTACAACATGATAAACCTGGCATGGGCAAACCACGGCCCGCGGACCGAATCCGACCCGTTAAGCAACTCAATCTGGCCCGCCTGATGCTGCCGCAACCAAACTAAGACCAAATGTTGATGTTTTACTGAAGGAGGAATTTATCGAGATGGCGATTAAATTCAGTTTTGGCACGAGGTTCCTTGGTTTACAGTACACTTTTGATTTTGCAAAACTGTAAATATTGTCCATAACTTTAAATTTTTACGTAACACTTATATCAGCACATGACCCGCCAGTCTAGGTGAACGAAATCTTTGGCCCCTGGTCTAAAAACCTTGCCTCCCCTGTATAAACAATTACAATGTATTCAAAATCGTTACTTACTTTCCAAACAAGTCATCGTGGTCTCGTTGTAATGTCGTTTGCAAGTCCTTGCGCATCGTTCGTGGCAAACCTGCCATTCTTGTCCGCCGCGACATTCGGGATGATGCGTCGATAACTCAAACTCTGTAAATAAAATATAATTTTGCATACTTGTTGATTTCAACTACTCCAAGTCTATCGACAATCGGTATTTACTGGACGCATAAGTCACACCATGAATATTGTGTCTGTAAAATGTTGCGTCCCTCCTGCCCCCGTTTAAGAACACTCATCCCAATTATCTTAAACTTATCGCACTTCTTCCACACTTTTCCCACTTCACCGACTTTTCTAAGTGATGGGAGATAAATTCTTTGAAAAGGCACATCGCGATACTTCCGGGGTGAGGAATAGGGTGGATATTATTCAGATAGATTCAACTGGGACAGGCGCGGAGAATTGTAGGATAAAGGAAAGGCAGTAAATGTGCTCTACTATCTTTCGGAACAAGCTAGATGCCCCAAAGGAGGCTTAGACAATTTTTTGAAAAAGCGCAAAGCTAATTAAAATACTTGTTAGATTAGATCTTGCCCTCCTTATTTTGGACATTTACATTTTTTATCTCGGATATTTACGTTCCATCCACGTATTTTCAACGTTTTTGTTATTAAAACATACCGCTTGTTATTTGTGGCTTATTGTTAGCGCGACTCAAGAAGTTTGGGAACTAGTTGAATCACCTATTTTTTGACAGTCTTTTCTCCAAAAGTTTTAACATAGCATATGTTAACAATACCGGGTTTGAACCCCGTTGAATCTACACTCTTACCTGAAGCAATTGCGTATACAATCTTGAAACCTTTGCCCCCGGAAGACACGTCACTCGTAAAAATGATCTCCACGCTACTTCCGGTAGAAACAAAATGTGACGTAGGTGCACGATATCCGCACAATGTTCTTGTAGCTCCGGTAGTGACGTCACGGATCATAAGTTGGTCAAATTCACAAAGTTTAAAACAACTCCATTTCCTGAGATCGCACGCTCCACTGAACACAATTGTTACGTCATCAGTTTTATAGATATTTCTTTAATTTACACGCGAGACATAGAAATAATATGTTCTGCTGTTGGCATATTCGGCTAAGCGTTCGGTCAGCGTGGGTTCGCAGGTTTGAATCACATGCGGGATAGTTATGTACGTAAGGATTGCTGAAGTCCTCGCGGCTGTAGGGTGGTTCACGTAACCGCTGGTCGGTGAAGGCTTCCCCCACCATCAAGTCCATGTATCCGAAACAAATAACTGACCAACTAATCCCACACTCGACATGAACTGGAAACCGAACGAGAGGCCGTGGTTCACTATATGATTTAGCCGTCTTATCGGCTTAGCCTAACCTCCTATTTTGATTATTCAAAAAAATAATTGATATGATGTCATAAAAACTCACACAGGATCTTCCATATTTATGTCGATGACTTTTAGAACGATTCTGAACCCAGTAGGTGCGATCACCTGCCATTTGCAATTTTGTTCGTTTGGATAAAACAGGGGGTAGTTAGGTGACGTAATCACTCCATCTCGTGACGTCAGAACTCCTCCACATCCATTGGCAATTTCGGGGTTTCGAGTAACTGGAGAAATAGCAAAAGATGAATGCTAAAATACACGGGCGAAAGCAGATGCTAATGCAGCGCCACGGTTTCATTATCAGTCAGTCAGTAGTTTATTTTTCATCAAAATGAACATAAACTCTCTACAAACAGTATAAAGGAAAAACATGAACATGACATTTCACGGTGAGGAGTGACGCGAAAAACCAAAGTTGGTAATTGAGCAGCGACACTCGTGATAAAAATTTTGATGCAAGTTGAATAGAAAGAAGTCAAACGAATATATGCAATTAAAAACATTAATGTTTAAAAACCAAATCCGCTACAAAAAAAAAAATTCCTGGCTCCGGCAAGTGCTGGTGAGGGTAACCATGGGAAACAGCATAGCGGCACTTGGTAGATACACCGGCCCAAAAAAAGAAGTTATTAGTCTTCAAACTTAATTGCATTCAAGAAAATGAAAAACAAATTATTCAACACTTGAACTTTTATGTATGATTGTCCCCGAAAGTTTTAGTAATCTGGGACGCTTTGCTCAAAAGTTATGTTCTGATGACCAGCCTCCGGAAGTATGATGACGCACTACCTGAAACCTAACCTGGTACACATCATATGTTCAGGTTGTGCGCCATTTTGGTACACATACCTCGGAAGCACCCAATGACCTGGGTAGTCACTTAAGGGTTCAAATCTCCCGCCACCGCTCAAAAGATAATTATCCAGTTACGGTTAGTTTAAGAATGCAAATTTCGCTGGAACCTCAAATCATTCTTATCCCGTTAATTACCAATTCCTTACTTTAAAGTGGCAGAGGTGTTTTCCCCAAATCACACAGTTTTTGCATTAGTGGCGGGATGTTTGTACAATATATCCAAAGGCCTTGTTTGCAACGAAAGAATATAGGTGTCGCATGAAAAACAAACAAAAAATAGAGCCGGATTTTTTACACAGCCCACAAAAAAAAAAATTCCTTGTCACCACTCTAAGCGGTGAATTTAGTAATCACCCAGTTAGGGCTAGAAATGCAGATTGCGCTAGGAATTTTCAACCCTAACCGGTTAAATATTAAATTGTTATTTTAAAACGTGGCGGTGTTTTTCTCAAATCTCACATTTTTGCATTAGTGGCGCGGAGTTTGTACAAAAGGTCCTTGTCCTCTTGTGCAGATAGTATATACTCACCCGGGGCCGGTTTTTCACAATACCCGCTTTGTTGCATAAAATATCCTTCGCAGCAGCTTTCTACTTTACGTCTGCAAATGACTTTGCGTTCTCCAGGTCTGTTCCTGAAAATGTAAAAATTTTTGTTATTACTTATCGATCTCGATCGGTAAGTGTGTTAATAGGTCTATTTGTTTGTTTGTCTGTTAGACATTTTCGTATGTTAAGCGATATCTCACGAAAGCGAGGTTGAATCTGCTCAAATTACATGTGCATTCATCATATCTCGGACCAGAAGCCCATTGATTTGAAGTAATTAGGTCGTATAATTGCAAGTTATTAATTACTTGGTAATTGAACACGCGGCGTCGCTATTGAGTCAGAGCAGAGGAATCGAAACCGCAGATCGATAAGTCGGCGGTCTCTGATTGTAATCTAGTTAAGGTCTTTAGTGGGATTTTATCAGGACTTCCGTCGCTTTGAACAACGCTTTCCCGGTAACTTGCAAAACAATCATAGCAAGACTGAGTGCGCTTACCCTAACCAGTTGAAGCAGATCTAGTCGGCCTGGTCAGAATTTCTAGCGAACACAAGTTTCTGGGAACCAACTTAGTCTAAATTGTTATGCAGGTTTGCTTGAGAGGGAGAGAAAACGGGTGGCAACTAACTTGCCAATGTTAAACGAGTCCATGGACGCCATTTTGTAGCCTCGTGCAGAACAATTAATCCCACTTTATAGAAATATGAGACAGTGTATTGAGTATCCGACATGCAGCACAAATATTAATTGCAAAATATTGAACCGCACGAGGGTTTCATACACTATTGCAATTGGTTACTGGTTACTACCGTGTTCCAATTTTTCCGAAAAATAACACTACGGCTCATTTTCGGGGGGATGTCTTATATTTTCACTTATCAAAAACAAAGTTACAAAGTAGCGAATCACGAGATTTTCAAATACACAAATATAAAACCGATATCCATTTACTTATGGATAACAAGTTTTTATTCAAAATAACTGCAAAACATAGCTTATCAACCATTTAAAACGTTTAGGAGAGATTTCTTGCTATTGACTAAGTATAAAATGTTATTGAATAGGTATAATTAATTCTAAGGGGAGGGTTTATATTAAAATCACTATTAAAATTCAGGCTAGGTCTTATTTTCGGAAGAAACACGGTATGTAGGCGACAAACGTCATAAATGATAACTTAGGCGGAAGTATGGCAATCTATTACATATTCTGATAATTTTCCGTTTAGGTTTTTATTGCGAACTATTAAATCCGCTAAAACTAACTATCCGCCATCTTGATCATGAAGAAGGTATATTGATAGGGCGGGGAATTTCAGGGAAAACACTTTAACCGTTAACCGGGTGACATTAACCGGTTTACCGCAGCGTCACGTTTGACATATTAATTTATAATTTTAGCGTTTTACGTCACAATGGTTACAAAGCAAATCAAATTTTTGTCAAACTTTAATAATCAGCAATCTTAGTACTTCAAATATTTTTCACATTTATTGGGTCCTTACTAATATAGTTAGTGAAATTCTTTTGAATTAAACGTCGCAGGAGATAAATTTGCGATGGCGTAATCATTTTTGAAGAAATTGTGCATTATAATGATGATTTGTACCTGAGATGTCGGTCAAACGGTTAAAATAAATCATAAACGTTAACCATCTAAAATCTGTCAACCGATTAACCATTCCCAGTACTATATATCGACAAACTATTCAATGAGTAAAAATACGAGAGAATGTTTATTCACGCATATGAACAATATAATAGCTCTTTGTTGATGACGCGGCGTCGCCCGGCTAGCTCAGTCGGTAGAGCGTTGGACTCTTAATCCAACGGTCGTGGGTTCGAGCCCCACGTTGGGCGATCGTTTTTTAGCTTCTTCAACTCAGGGGTCTTCAACTACGGGGTCGCGACCTAAATTTGGGTCGCAAAGCACTTCGGTCTGGGTCGCAAAACAATTTAAATTTGGCGTAAATATGAGCATCGCGTCTGTGTAGCGTATTTATGTATAACAACTTCATAAATCTCTGATTATATTTATGGATGTTTCCCCGAGTATACACTTTCTTATTTATTGCGGTAACATTGGCCAATCAGTATAAGTGCAAAATTTGACGTAATAATAGACGTTTTAGAAGCGTTTATGAATGCTTATTTGCCTCAAAAATGTAACAGTATCTACTTAATGATTAAACAGTGTAAAAGAGATGCGCGTCATGCAACCCTAACAAGTATGGCCCACTTCTGGGCCATAGAAAGATTTTGAGCTGGGCCACATAACTATTAAAAATTGCTAGTTTTATTTATGTCATAATAGTTAATTTTGATTGTAGCAGCAATCAATGACGATGCTGTTTTCTGCTACTGAGTGGTAATTACTTATCGGTCTTAAGATCGGTAAGTATGTTGATAGGTATTTGTCTGTATGTATGTTTGTATGTCAGACACTTTCGTATGTTACGCGATATCTCAAGAAAGCGAGCTTGAATATCCTTCAAATTTTGCATTTGCATTCATCATATCTCGGATCAGAAGCCTAATGGATTTTGGATAAATTATGTCATATAATTAGCGAGTTATTAATTAATTAATGATGGGATACACGGTGTCGCTGTGGAGTAAGAGCGGATGAATTGAAACCGCAGTTTCTGTTTTGGGGATACCCTAACTTTCGATCGATGAGTCTTCGGTCTCTGACCGATATTCTCGTTTTCTTTTTATTTATTAAAGTGAAGGTGTCCATTATTGCAAGAAGATCTTGATTTTTTTCTTAGTTTTCCCCTTGCAACAAAAAATTAATGGGGCACAAAAAATTTTGGACAACAGAAATGGGACACTATAAAAAGACGGTTGAGAACCACTGGTTTTGGACGTAGCGTACTTTTACGCTTTTTAGCTTTATTTTAGGTTATGCTCGCCTTTCAGATATCTCTGTATTTTGTTTGATCGTCTATTTTTTGTGCTGTTTTGTTTTTATGTCAGACTACCGGAATAAATGATTGGTTGATTCAAACCATGACAGGTCGCAGTTAAAATAAAATCTAACAACACATTACAAGAGTGCAATGCTCAAATGTTCTATGGTTACTGAAGTCAAAATTCGGGTGGATGAGTTCCGTATGTCATGTAAAAGTGTTCCTTTAATCAAAATAAAGCATAGAAATATTTTTGGGTTTAATACCAGGTTTTATGGAATTCGATAAAAATTTAAATAACTATTTTCGAGTAATGAAGATTTTAAATAAATTGGACCATCGTTTCTCAAACTTTTTTTGCGCTGGAACACAATTGTTAACTCGCTTCGTGGAACACCAATAAATTAGAAGGCAAATGGGTGGTTTTTAAAAACATTAAGCCTATGGTAAAGTCCCATCACTAATTTATTAATCACTCGCTAATTATACGACATATTTCATCCAAAATCAACAGGCTTCTGGTCCGCGATATGAGCAGATTCAACCTCGCTTTCGTGCGATATCGCGTAACATACGAAAGTAAAACAAACAAACTTACAAATAACTATCAACGTACTTACCGATTAAGATCGATAAATAATTAGGCCGACGGTTAACGATATAAAACAGTTGACGAAATGCCATGCTTTTAAGACTAGCACAAGGTCTGTCAGCCTGTTTATTGCCAGTTGAAAGACAAATTCACGAACCAGAGGCACCGGAGTACGATCGAGATCGCCATGGCGACTAATTTGGTCGCAATTCCGATCCCTGTACCGCGGAACACGCCGGAGAAGCTCGCGAAACAGCGGCGTTTTGCGGAATAAAGTTTATAAAACACTGGATTGGACCGACCATTAGTTGCTCGGCAAATTTTTTTAACAAAATGATGAATAGGTCCGTTTCGTACCAAAAACGCTTATATTTAAAACTCACTCATAACATCTTAGACTCCGGTCCCAGTAACATGGCACAATATGTTGTTCCGTAACTTGCAATGTGCAGTTATACTTCTCAATCTTCGTGCATGTGACGTTTTGACGACTCGTAGTTCTGCAGAAAAAAAAATCAAAATTAGAAAATGGTTGAATTGGGTATATCCGAGGAAAGCCCCGTGAGCCCCTGATTCAAAATGTAAAAAATTGACAAAAAAAAATTTCTGTATCTTATCTGTAAAAATATCTGTATTTTTGTAGTGAAAAGGCGTAGTATATCTGTACAAAAAGGTATCATTGATTAAAAAAAAAATTGCACTTTGTAAATAATTTCCCTGTCTCAGTCAAAGTTTCTTACTAATGTCGTCGTGAAGAAGCTAACGCGTCTGAAAAGGATGGTATACCCATTTAACAAAATAAACACGTGCTTAGGGCACCAAGAGAAGGAGGCAGAAATTTCCATAGACGAATTTTCAATTGCTCCTCCGTGCTTAACGAAATAATCCGAGTTGATCTGACGACTCGGACGACAACATCGGCCTGGTCGAAATAAATTTCTCTTGCTTTTATTACTCACGTATCATGTTAAACCTCTATAAATATTTGTGAGCATGAGAACTTTTTCCAGAAAATATCACGTAAATTATTCGTAATTTGGCCTTCAATCAATAATGCATACTGAAACTTACTTTCAATTTCGGATAACACGGAACACTAGTTACATTCCTACTAATATTTTTATATATAGGGCACCAAAGTCTTAAGTGCTTAGGGCAGCGATGGGCTTTGAACCAGGGGCCAAAAATATTTTCCACTAAAGTGTGTCGTGAAATATTACATTTTATAAACAATATTTACAGTGTTACAAAATCGAAAGTGGAAAATATAAAGCCACGTGCAAAACTAATTTTAATCGCAATCTCAAGAAATTCCTTGAGTACTTTTCAGCTAAAACATCAAAATTGGGTTTTAGTTTGGTTGCGTCGGCATTAGGCGGGTCGGAATAAATTACCCAACGGGCTGGATTTGGCCGACCGGCCGTAGTTTGTCCATGTCAGGTTTCGAGTCTTCAAATACCATTAGCCGCCCTGCGTCTGAACTGTTTGGAGTTTTCTACCTTAGATCAACAAGATATCAGCGGAAGCCCACATCCGCTGGGGATTATGATCAAGTATTGCGACAATAATTTAATCGTTCGTTTGTTTGTAAACAATGCAAGTGACAATCAATCCGGTAATTAAAACCTATTCGTTCTGTTATATGAAACGTAAAAGTGAAAGTTTGCAAGTTCACAATTTGAACTTCCTAGTATTTTTATAATACGACCCCATATACGTCCATGTCTTGATAGTTTCAAATCTAGAATTAAACTTTCTGTTGGCGAGAACAAACTCTTTATATTATCAGTGATATTATGTTCCATACAACAAACAATTTAATCCCATAATCAGATGTTTGCCCTTGGGTAATCCTACAACAATGTACATGATCGGCATAATCTCTCGATAACTAAGAGTAAGCCAATAGGCAACCAAATTTGATGTAATTCTATTGATATGAACTGTTACTGTTATTTTTATTTGAGTTGCTCCATTTTATTTTTTTTGTTTATCGTAATGTGTTGTAGACTCGATGACGTAGCAATTTGTCCTTCACAACATCTGTCGTTTCAAAACGAAATGTTGGAAAATTCAATGTTAAATGTTTCCTATTAAAAAGCCAAATAAAATAACTGTCTTGTGGTTCATGTAAAGTAACTTTGTTGAATACAATATTACCTCAACTCTAATCGTCATTTATGGATTGCAAATTTATCTTAACGTAAAATAGCGTTGAATTGAGAAGCGTATGTTGTTATTTGAGTGAAAATATAATTTTAAATCCAAATCATTTTATTGGGACATTTTACAATCAAATTTTTTTGCGCTCCATTTCAAACGGCGCCTGGATTTCATACCCAAGATACGCCACTGACCTTCTGAAATATTTCTCCTCAAATTCAACAAACTTTCACCTTGGTGAGAAATTTCTTTCCGGCTGACAATGCTGGCTTAAATGTTATGCTATCAAAGTATGGGATTTTCGTCTGGAAGAGTTAGACTTTGATCCAACGAGATCTTATAAATACACTTACTTTTTCGTAGATCATCATAATAATCACTTATCAAATATTATATTAATTGTGAATGATATTTGCTATGCACGAAATGCATTCATTGCGAAGTGCTTATGATATGTAACAATGAAAAAAATAAAATACTAACCCTCTCCCGTTTGCGACATCGTCCGACAAAATCGTTAAAATGTTTCCATTTTGACTTTTCAGTGAAGGCCTACTGATTGATGCTTTGACTTTGTTTTCGCCATTTCCCAAAGCTGACAATATTTTGCTTTTCCATAATTTTTCGAGAGAAAATTTTTCAGAGAATTTATTTTTTTCGAGTTTAAAATTGTCAAAATTTGATATCCTGTGCTTTTTTGTGTATTTATTCGTTAAAATAATCCAGTTTCCCGCGCTTTCTTCAAATCCATTTGTGACGTCACTATCATATTCCGAATCTTGAAATAAATCTTTTATGACGTTATCATCTTCCGTTTCGTTTTCAATTGTTGTTGCAATATCATTGTTAACGTCATAAAGTGTTTGTGTTTCAACTTCAATCCCTCTATTGTTACCTTGTTCAGTGAGAAAATCAGGTAGAATACTGGGGGCTGTGAGGCCGATTATTACAGCAGCTAATAATAGGCTGCGGCAGATACACATAATTATAAAATTTCTGCAAGTAATTAAAGCATATGGATAGTTAGGTTGCATTGTAGAATCAGGTTCGTAGCTAGGGGCGTGGTTTTAAAACAAAATGTGGAAAAAAAAGCATTTTTCTGTTTCATACATAAACACTTTTTAGACCGTTAAGACTCCTAAAAACCAACATTATTCCGGGCTGTTCTAGCTTGGCAATTGAAAATTTTAGATCACCCCTTCTCCCACTTTAAAAATTCGGCGAAAAAAAAAGCCGGCGAACATTTAAAATGTGCTCAGGCTGAGAAAAATTCTGATTTCGACTCCGTCCGGTAAAAAATATTTGTTAGACTCCGAGGAACGCTTGGCTTTTGGCTAACTTAATGCTTTCTGAGTTTCTGTAAAATATTTTGGATCTTTGGATCCCCCGCTAAAAACATCCCCGCCAACGCTTAAAATAGGGAAGTTATTATTTATCCAGACAGGGTTTCGGCTGGGACAGGGTGGTCCAAGATTGGCAGCTCCGAGGGCCACAAAATAACTTTTGCATTATTCGCGGGCCACAATAGTGCCAAGAACTTCGCTTGTTTAGTTGCCTCAGCAAGCCATAACACTTGTCAATTCATTGACATTAATGATGTAACAATATGTCAAAGGATTTTTTGGTTAATTTTACGACGAAACAACACAAAATGCGATTTTTGATTCTTCTCCGAATGCGACGCGGGCCACAGATTATGAATCGACAGGAGACACATGTGGCCCGCGGACCTGGATTTGGACCACCCCGGGTTAGGAATAGAGCTGGGCACTTCGAATCGAATATTCGAATCGATTCAAATAGTAAATTATTCGAATCGATTCAAATAGTAAATTATTCGAATCGATTCAGAGCAAAATTTCGAATCGCCGCCATCTATTTTTTTTTTTTTTTTCAGCGAATGGCCGAGGTGAGTTCCCCATTTTTTTTTTCATTGAAGCCATATTTTTTCAATGCAATTCTGACATATGACTATTTTCTGTAGTGACTTATTGGTATATAAGTATTTTTCATTGTGTGTGAGTGCTCCGAAACTTGTCTTAGTGATGTATTCTGTGTTTTCAGTAATTCATGCAATGAGGAAATAAATCTATATTCTATTCGAGAGATGTATCACTGCTTGATTTTTATTATAAAAAGAACCATCCGTTCGGTTTTTCAACTTTCTAAAAATATGTGCGGCCCGCCAATGACTTGCAACCTTAATTTTGGGCTAACAAAAGTTTGCCGACCCCTGATCTAAGACGTATTTTGCATCTACATCGCACTGAATCTCAATACTAATTTTGAATCGAGCATTATTATACACCTATATTTCTCCTATCAGGCCGGCAGTCGTCAGTGACTGCTTTTGGTTTTTACAAACACCTCAAGACGGTCTTGAATCCTCACCGTACTGTCTCTATACTTCTTCACTTTTAGTTGAGAGCTCGGAACCCTGCTTTGAACAAATTTGCAACTCTTCTGTCAGTACTTTTTCAACGTTAGCTGTAGGCTCGGGGTATTGCTTTGAACAACCTTGCAACTCTTCCAGCAAGCTTGCAACCCTTCATATTGCACTTGTAATCACTTTGCAATACAGTCATATTGCTCCTATCACACTGACACCCACATTTCACACTTCTATCACATTTGGAGGCTCGGGACCTTGCTTTTGGCAAACTTGCATCAACATATCTCCTAAATTCTCACCGTACTGTCTCTAAACTAAGCCACATTCCTGAAAATGAAAATCATTTTATACTCAGTCTAATTTGATGAAACATATTCCTAAATGAATTTAATTTATGAGTTGTAACTCCGATTTCCACGTCCTAATCCCCAACCTTTAGAAATATCGCATGAATTGAACTTCTAACGAAGCTCAGCCGTGAAACACGATTTACAACCTCGCTCATGAGCAGATATACTAGTATAAATGTTCAGTCATTTTACGTGCAATCCATTGTACTTCAAATTAGCGAATTGTGTTTGGCTCAGACATGCTTTACCAGATGCTTCGAAAAACATTTATAAAATGAAACGGTCGTGCCAGAGATTACAAAGCGGTTTTAACGATCTGTTAAAGAAATCTCGCACAAGCCCAATTCTTTGTTTCAAATTTCATCTTCAATGGTGGAAAAAAGACATAATTTTCTATAGAATTTCAAAATTACTTATCGGGGGACATTTGGAAATGTTTAGAAATGTTCAGTAAATTTACGTGCAATCCACTGTATTTCAAATAGGAGGATTTTAATTTGCTCTGACAACATTTGATTTCTAAACTTCTGTAATTTTCACTGAAAAACTTTTGGTAAATATTGCTTCAAACCATGATTTTGAATAACAGCCTAAAATACACCTTCGTCATGTTTTCAAATAAAACTTAATTAATCATCAATCGCCTTGCATATATAGAAATGAAAAACACATACTTAAGATGAAATGCCGCGATTATGGCATTAATTTTCCCTTCTCCAATTGATTTTGTGTCCACCAAGTACTATAGGCGTATAAAAAGTTTGGTTTAAATTGTTTTTGTCAATTCGTTTTTGTCATCATCGTAAAGTTTTAAACGAAATGCTTCGAAAGAACATCTTTATTATGGATTCAGAGTTTACTAGCGTTTTTGACGAATCTTGAACACACCGAAGTATTTGTTTAAATATTTAATATTCTTGCAGTTTGAGTCGCCTTTCTTGCATTCAATGGTGAAAAAGGCACAATTCCCTATAGAATTTCAAAAAAGTACGTATCGGAGGATTTTTAAAGTAGATTTAGAGTTTACTAATCGTTTATAACGATCTACTGAAAAATCTTTACTTTTAAAATTTGATTAATCGGAATTGGCATCGCAATTGTATACTTTCAATGGTGGAAAATAGAATTTCGAAAATCACTCAGAGATTATGCTTTTTTAACCCAAAGCTGGGAATTGAAATTGTTAATTTTTCCGATTCCACCGCCTTAGCCATTGCAACACTATATAGCAAAACAATGATCATAAATATTCGGTTTTCTGAAAATAGTTTCAGTGTAGAATATCGAATCTGTTTGAATTTAACTCCCTGAACAGTTTCGAAAAAGTAGCTCAGCAAAACTTTTGGTACTTCCTTAGTATGTGTACCAGGTTAGGGTTAGGCCATAATTTTATTATGATTTTCCTTATTTTCGTTCCATTACGAGTTCGGGGACTGTCTGTGTTGACCAAGTGAATATACCCCTGCCCACAGGCTTCCGTCCCTTTACACAACTTGATGTAAAGCAGGTGAACAAAATTAGTTACCTCCATATTAGTACACACACTTCTGGAGCGACAAATTTTTGGAAATAGAATGGACGCGGGAGCTCAAAAAAGAATTCACGTCAAATAAAACTATCGTAATTATAGAATACACATCCGTCTACCTTGGGAAAGATTGGTGCAGTGAGAAAGTAATATTTTATCCAAAAATAACGATAATTCAGCAATTATATCCACTACGTGTCTGTAGAAATAGTCAATCATGAACTTCTAAATTTTGAAAGCGTCTGACCCATTAGTTGCGAGGCGAAAGCGATTTTATTTCAGCAACAACAAACTGGCAATACTGTTCATAAGAACGAAACGAAATGAAATTGTTTTCTAGGAGGCAAATTGAGTATTTTTTACAAAGTCCTCGCAAAAGCTCAAAATATAAAATTTCAGTAATTATCTAGTTACAGTTAGGAATGCGGATTGCGCTTTTCTATTTTAAAAACGTGGTGAGTGTGTTTTTCTCAAACCTCACATCTTTACATCAGTGACGGGGGCTTCGTACAAAAGATCCGACGAATTCACCTCCAACTAATTTTTGTAGATGATTGTGCTCATGGGTAATGAAAAGGGGGCGTAGCCAGGGAGGGGGTCAAACCCCCCTTTTGAAATGAAAAAAGCAATATTTCATAGCTTAGAACGCTTGACCCTCATGACTCTTGGAACCGATCTAACTTGTAAATAAGAAATTTCAGAACTTTCATAATCTCGTTTGAAAATTTCTGGCTAAGACCCACTCTGATGAGGAGTAAGCTCATTTCTGCCTTGACGGCAATTCAGGAAGTCGGACCAAAGGTCATTTATTTAAAAAAAAAAAATGAACTAACCGCACGTGCTATTCCACTCAAAGTTCTGAAATTTTATACTTTGTATATCTTGTTGACAATTCCGGTAAATTATCAAACAAACTTTCTAATGACTGTCATTACCACATTAAACCAAGATCGCGGATTAGACGTACTAAGCGTATACGTGCATTAATTTGATTGACACCTCCTAAATTGCGACTGACTACCGATGGTTTATTGTTGTGTTCAATCGTATGAACGCGTACAGAGGCTTCGGTGTAGCGGAGTCTTGTAGCGGGTTTATAGGTTTCAATTACTAGCGTAGATAGGGGTTCCGGAAAACGTGAGTTTCAAAAAGATTCGAGGGTCTAAAAAACATTTCAAGCTACGAAGAATTTCTATGTATGATACAGAAAAGGGGAGGCGCCATTTGCCATGACCATCGCCTTATTTATAGTCGATATAGTCTTCCAACAGCCTTTAACGCACGGAGTCATACAAATGGCGATCGGGACCATATATCCATCCCTGTCCCAACTGTATGATTCGAATGGAAATTTGAAACGTTGGATAAACTATATCGTTCGTCAGTTGTGCATGTATTACAATTGTTACGTCGTCGTTGACTCTTTGCTGATTGGTCATTGTTACAGAATCAAAACAAGGAAATCGAAACCTGGGAAACTTCCCTAATCCTGGTATTCGCTATCCCTCTTTATCCTAATTATTATAAACAATAAAAATATGAAACAATCTAATGTACCTATTATCTCTGATCAACGAGAACCCCCAAATAGCGTCGGCGATCGGTAATAAAACACGGGCGTTACTGAGCCGCCATTAAAGCTGTTCTTTTGCCTGAATTGAACTCCAGTTGTCATCTTCTCTGAACTAGCATTATTAAATCACAAAGGCGATTATACTGTCACAACAAAGCTAA